ACCGACTCAGCAATATCGGAAACATTACTGTTCATTTTAGAGTTAGAGGGAGCGGTAACTTGTACCAACGCATTAGATTTGGAGAAAGCCAGAGGTGAGATCCCACACACTACGCTACGAGTAGAAGATGAGTGTCCAATAAAGCGACACTCATCAAACCTAGACTTAATGAGCCCAAACTTTTCCCACAAGGAGTTGAGACTTCTACTCAATTCCGAGAAACCATAACGGGTCTCCGTGAAAAGTTTATAAAAGTCAATGTCCCGCTGCGTACAGTCAGGACATGACCATCTTAAGCCTTTAGACGGATCAGCGACTGCGTCAGCAGCACATCCGAGAATACCGGTACACTTTGCATGACCAAAGCGCTCGCAGAGCCAACAAGAAACGAATCTATCAGAATCCGGGCCTGATTTCGCCCGACAAGGTGTATATACACACTCCATGTCCTTTCAAAAAGACAGTTGTGGATTATGAAGAACAGACACACAAATCACTAAAAAAATCCTGAACATAAAAATTTATCAACCAATTTGTGCAAAACTTCTCTGTTAGGTTGTCACTGTAACGAGAGATCAATAGCAACACAAACCACAAACAGCAAAAAAATAACAGAGAAAAAGAGAGAAAACACAAAAAAAAAAAGAGAGATTTATATCAGAGCTCAAAATTTTTGTTTGCAAAAATCAAATGAATCAAAGCGTAAAGGAAAAATATTTCTTTTACTTTGAATTCACTCACTTTCTTCTCAAAGTATATTATAAATTCAAACACCATATAGACGACTATACCGCGCGACAGAGTTGCCAGACTGATTCTTAAAAAGTAAGCTGTCGAAAATGGTCCAACATGGCGACCTTATTCAAGTGCAAGGGCTGTTTACGTCTACATTTGTCACTTTAAGCGTTTAAGTGCTTCAAAGAGGGGTTGATCAAGGACATAGCATTTTATGATTTCTTTTTGATGTTTTGTAAGGCGTAGAATGCGCGTCAAGATAACATAGACTTAGTTCTGTTTTAAGCATTTGGATTCAATACCGCCGCCTGGTTACCGCAGACGTTTGCAAGTCGTCGTAGAAGTCGTTGCTGCGAACTTGGCGGAGTGACCTCATTATTGATGATAAAAGATACAGTCCTGAAGCTTACCTAAGAAATGTATGTATTACATAAATACATTTATAAGAAGAGCAGTTTTACTTAATTCAACAGGCATTTCAACGACATTGAAGATAATCTAAGGATACACAAACATATCAAAACGATTTTTCAAGTCTTGTACTACTATTACCCTCTACATTACTCTCAATTCCTGAGCAAAAACTTATTGTTCTTAACCACAAGCACGGCTTCGGGAATGAACATAGTACCACTGAGCAATGTCGTTATGTTAGTCCGTACATCAGAGCAGCCATTGAAAATAAGAACTAGTGTGGCAGTGTAGTCCTTGATGTGGAAAAAGCCTTCGATAAAGTCTGGCGTGAAGAGCTACTTTTCACACTTAAAAATATCCTTTCAACACCTATGCATTTGCTAATTAAACCCTATTTCTAAAATAGATATGTCTATGTTAAAGTTGAAAATTACAACTTCAATATGTATGAAATGAGAGGTGGACTGCCTGAAGGAAGTGTTCTAAGTCCAATACTTTACGCAATTTTCACTCCAGATTTTCCAATCGCTAAATACATTTTAACAACGACGCACGCTGTTGACACAGTAATTCTTCGGAAATGTTTCCTATGGATTACAAGTTCATTAAAACTAAATGCTGAAAAATCTACGCTGGCAATATAGTCGGGCTAGGCCGACTATAAAATCCCCTATACCACATAGTTAACGCAATTCTTATTTTTGCCACAGAATACAAAAACTGTACCTTGCACTTATAGGAAAGCGGGACCAAAACGCAACCTGATGCAGTTTAATCCTTACATAGAGCAGGATCTAAAAATAGACATAGATGGTCCAAATTTTATAGAGTTCATTTTTGTATGAAATTATTATTGTGGAGCAATTTTTTAAATCCTAGACTTTTTTGCCCTACAAAGAGTCAAATTTCGATCCAGCCGGTCCAAGGTTTTCATATCAGTTTAGAATGCCGAAACATTATGACTTAGCTGCTGTTATCGAGAAATTTTGAAACTGGTCGAAAAAACTGACTGATCCAAACCATTTTCAATAGTGTCCGTCCTTTGGTCAAAAAAATTTCATCAAAATATCTCAAAAATTGCAACCTGTAGCTTGAACACAAATTTACATGAACAGACATTAGACAGGCAAACGGACAGAAGGACAGACATGCTTGGACCGTTAGAATAATTCTCTAAATCGATCGATTTAATAGGACGTGGATCTATCTTAAGCGCCGTGTTACATAAGTTCGTACAAACTTAATATATCCCCTACCACAAGTGGTGAAGCGTATAAAAAGGAAAATAAAAGTCTACCAATTCCTCTTCTATTACCGCCATACATATTTTCTCGTGACTAAGCCGGGCAACATCGCCTTGGAACTTTTTTCAGTTGCGATTACAAAGCATATAAGGGAGTTAAGTGCTCGAATTTTACGTAAGATAAACCTTGCGTAGTCTTCGTGATTCGGGTTTCCATCGATTTTGGATATCGCCCACACAGAAAGGGATACGCATAAGAGAGGTGAGAGCGGACTAATTCGAAATATATTTTCGGCTATTTTGCCCGGCACATGAAACTCTTAATTAAAATTTTGTATTATGTTTTCTTATAAACAAAGCTTTTTCCAACGTTATTTTCCATTTATTATTATATTAGTTTGAGCTAACACTTTTGCTTTTCTCATCCGAAATCTAAAAAAGCGCATTCATTAACATTTATTTTAAAAAGAAAAACAAAAAATATTTTTTAGTCTGTTTTATTCATTGGTTCACTTATTCGTATTCGCATACATTTCTTAACACATTTCCCACATAGTTTCCTTGTCCCTCGATATTATTCGCGTTATTGTTATCATGATTATCGTCGTTATTATTATCATCGTCATCATCAGCTATTTGTTTATCACTTTTAAACACTAGAAAACAAAACCACCTTAATAAACTCATAAATATTTATGAAAAACTTTAGATTTCTATATATTTTTGTCTTATACACTTCTTTCCTTTCTATGTGTTCCCGATGGTTTAGTTATGTGCAATTTATCCTCTATGCACACATACAACAGAACAACACAACACACTAGTGTAGGACAGACACTGCTCAGATAATAGCAAACCAGCAGCAAACTGCAGTTAAACTCGTATAATGAGTTAGCTGTTGCTCATCAGTAACCATAAGTTCTTCCTGTAGACGGACATATATGTATGTATGTACTCATATGCACACATATATGTTTTTATATACATATATATATATATACATATACATATATATATATACATGTGTACGGTTTTGCTAACCAACTAACTTCCTGTTTGCACTCAAACTTAAATAATAATGCATAAATGTAGGACTTCAATAACGAAGAATGCATGAATGATGGCAAAGTCCGTGTGTAAAGGGAGAAAATGAGCACTGAGATAAGAAAAAACTGGGAAAGATGTGTTTAATACTGAAATCTATGCAATTTCTTTTTTTTTTTTGCTTGTTTGCTTAGAAAAATAAGTTTATTACTTTAGTAGCATGTTCGTGGATGACGCTGACGCTGGTGTTGTTGATGATAAAACCGAGTCAGAGATTAACAAAGTTACTCTAAAGCGTACGCTTAAATGTAGAGACAATTATATCAGTGCATGGCAAAAGAGGTTATCGACTTCCATACTGTTATCAAGTTATTAACATTTGTAAGCAAAAGCAAAAAAAAGAATGAAAGGAAAGAAAGGAAACAATGTTTCAAGTTAAACAGAAGCAATTAATAAAGTTATTAAGTACACAAGTACATTTTAAATGACGTCTTGCGAAACTTGCGACAATAAATTCTGTCAAAATGACAAAATACTTATTACTCAAAACATTGTTCATCGTTAGCGACTGACTATCTTTTCTTATCTTGCAGCACACATGACCCGAGGTGAACGCATGACTGACACGGAGTCATTGATCGAAACAACTGGTAAGCAATTTTCTTCTGAGGATAAGTTTTTAAACAAGGTAATGGTCAAGGACGAAGATGTGGCGAGAGAGGGACAGGTCCCGATTGCGTCTTACGATGGCGTATATCCATTCAGGAGGCCTTGTGATTTTACCGATCAAGCATTCTTATTGACTAGACTGCGGGGAAGCAACGATCTTAGTGGACTATGATGGTCGGGGTACGATATTCGACATAAATATTCCAAATATTCCCATATAGGTTTTCACGCGCAATACGATAAGTGATCGCGCTACAAGGTCACTCGATCGTCTCTCTGCTGATATTACTTTCATTTTCCCCCTAACGATCAGGTTACTCGCACCAATAACCGAAAGCGATTGCTCGTAATGTTTTCACTTGACTTTCACCGCTCATAACGCCTATTATTGACACCATCAAATATCGATCTTTAGCTTCGTATTATGAATGTTTAGCTTTGTCTTTGGCGTTGATGCTCACTCATGCCATTCCCACGTTTTCCACACTTTTGATTGTCATAGCGAGTCTATTTCTAATTGCAGAATACCTTTGCTTTTGGAATAACTGTTTACAGATGGAAAATCTCGTTTTCATATCTCCCGGCTTTAATTCCTACAGTTCACAATTGCCTTGCTATTGCATCATTGACATCGCTCGTAATTGTAACAAAATTGTTTGTTGAATAACGTCTGACATCAGGGCATACAATGTGTTGAACAATGTTGCAGTATTTGTCACTGCTTTACTCAAAAAACAAAGCAATAGAAATGAAAGAAATTTCTCGATTGTTGAATAAATTGTAAGCTATGATATGAAATTTGCTTTAAAATCGTTGCAAGTCTTTCTTTCAATTTTTGTTAGCTTAATGCAATTTATTTAATTGGGAACTTGACTTATATTTTTCTTACGCTTACCTGGTCTGTGAAGTTGTCGGTATGAAATAAAACTTTTACATAACTCGTTTCACTAATAAATGTCTGCGGTTGTTCAGCTTCACCACAAAACATGCCTGGTTCACGGCGATTCGAGACATCTGTTTTCGCATTCCCATCCACAATCTACAAAAACAAAAAAATGAGAATAGGAGCTTATTTATGTACTAAAAATTATTT